ATTGACCCCCATTGCAGTCCGAGTTGCAACGGACTGCATGGGGGAGAGAAAACACATGTTCTAGGTGCATCCGGAGCCAATATTGAACCTGGATGCCCTATAAAATTTAACGCTTCGCTTTCTTTTAACATGGGGCAAGTTCTGGGGCTGTGGGTATAAAAAACAGCCATGATTGCAGTCCAAGAAATTACGGGCTGCATGGGGATGCCAAGGCCAAGGGGAAATGGGCTACGGCAAACCCGGAAGGCTAGAAAGGAGCAATTTTGGCATAGGGCAAGGAAATACGGTAAACGACAACCGTGAGATGGGATCTCACGGCCTAGAAAAATCGGCACACATGTAGAAATGATGGGACCACTAAGGGCAATGGGCCCCAAAAAAAATAAAAAAGGGACGCCGTCCGAAATGTTGTCGGGGACCAAAGGGGTCCAAATAATAAAAATCGAAAAACGGGACACGCGTCGGCGGGACCGCCGGCGGGACAAGGAAATGGAGCTAGCATGAAGGAAAATGGCGGGGACTTGGGATGTCCCAAGGGAACCATGAGCAAACACAAAGAATAATTGTGCAAGCCAACGGCATCGTCGAAATCGAGGATCTAGACGGTGAAAAAATATTAGCACCACTAGTGCAATCACTAATGGGAGCAAGTGGGAGAGCCATGGGAGAGAGAAAAGTAAAATAAGGATGTTGGGAAGGCTACCCAGCAGTCCGAGATATCTCGGACTAGCTACGCATAAGAAAATAGAGCCTTGAGAGGCTCAACATGAAAAAAAGGCTGCCCTTAAGAAAATCGAAGCAAAAGGGGCTCAAAATTGGGCAAACGGGAGCAAAATGGAGCCCCCTAGGAGCATGGGGGTGCCATTGTTGGAATCCGAGATGTAACGGCCAAGTAACAGCCATGAACCTGGCCTTGAATGAGGCCCTAGGGCCTAGAAAGAGGGTGCACAACAGTTTGACACTTGTCACAATAGAAATAAAAGAAAAAGAAAAAAAAATGAGAGAAACATGAGGGAGAATGAGACAAAAGGGGAGAAAAGAGTGGAGGAGAGTGTGCCGGCCTATTGGGACCTGCACAGTAGGGACTGGCAGGTCCCAACTGTGACCTCATCCCTCCTAGAATGAGGGAGGGCAATCCGGATTGCAGAGATATGGCCCTTAGGGCTATATCTCAATAAAATCTGAATTAAAAAACTGAAAATGAGAGAAAATGCAAAAAGGAAGTGGCCAGATTTCTTTTTGACCATGGATTTGAGATCAGATCTCATGGTGGAGAGGAAGTAGCCGTTTTTTGTCGGCCAGCTCAAAACGGCTAACTCCGAAATGAGGTGGCAGCCCAAAATGGAAAGAAACAAAAGAGGGAAAAGACCAAAACTGTGCATTTGGCCCAAAAAGAGAGCCAAATGCACCAAAAATTGAAAAAGTAGACTTAGGGGCTCAAAATTGAAGCAAGGGCTACTAGGGGGTAGCTCGGATTATTGCTGGCCTTGGATTGCAGCCAGATCCAAGGCTGAAAATGTGCCGCCACATGGAAAAATGCTCCGGCCTGCCCAAGGGAGGCCGAAACTTGGAAAAATCGAGAAAAAGGCCCACAAGGCTTTTTTCTTTCAAGTATTGCTACCCCTTGGGCATTAGGACCCTAAGGGGCAGCATTTGAGCAAT